CAAACACTTGTCGTAAGCACCCCCCCTCCCCCATTGCTTGGCATCACATACCTTGTGGAAGTATATTTTACAATAACTCCATAATTCAAGTAGAACTACACACCATGGGGTGTTTTAACAATGTTTTGCGTTTGCCATCAGGCACGAGCTTGTGGTGATAATCATAACTTCTGTCATTTGCTGGATGATCTCAGTCCATCGCTTTCAGCTCTGGCCTTGCAGCCGCGCACGCTGGCAGTGGCGTTATTCCGAACCAGCCGTGCAGCTGCCCTTGGCCCAACAGCAGTCAAGCCTGCCCATCAGACACCCCCGAGGTACCCCTGCTGTGCCGTCGTTTTCCTCCTTTTCTGCACCGCAGCTTGCAGCCCGGCGTGCGCCAATGGCGGAAGGTGTGTGCGCAGCGGCGTTGGAACCAGCACGTGCAATTGCACAGGAACAGGCTTCACAGGCACCATCTGCACTACACCCCTTCAACCGGCCCTGGACAACGGTATCCTTGTCTGTCCGCGAGACGCCATCTGCTACGATGCCGGCCCTGGGTTGCTGGCGGTCGTGCCCAACCCTTACAATAACACACTGACTGTTGTCAATGTGGACGCGCCTTCGCCTGCGGTTGGTACTTTGGATGTGCAGCCTGATGGATCCTTTGTCTACACTGCAGTTATGTGAGTGGGGCGCCATCACAGAGCAGGGAAAACACACTGGTTGTTACATGCATTCAAGACAGTCTGCAGCCCTGCACAACCAGGTTGAGGGGGGGAACGCAAGTCCTGTTAGCTTGGTTGTGTACCCGTGACAGCAAACCTCCTCTGGTAATCCAACCCTTGCTTGCTTCACCCAACTGCAGTGGTTTTGCGGGCAACTTCACCGTCAAAGTGACCTACAGCAATGGCACCAGCACGTTCACCGTTCCCGTGACAATTTCTGTCTCCGGCCCGGCACCTCCTGCACCAGTGGCAGTAAATGACGTCTTCACTTGCCCCAATGGTGCTGCTTGCACCTCAGACGGGCCAGGCGTGATGTCCAATGACAACAATTTGAGCCCGGGCACCATACTCCGGGTGGTGGGTTGGTCTGCAGCAACAATTGGCAACCTCACCCTCCAGCGCAACGGTTCATTTGAGTACATGCCACCATGGTGAGCGGTTTGTCAGTGAATCGGCGGACGAAGCAGTCGGTGGGAAGTACATTTACGGTTGCATCATCACATTTTCATGGAAGGGGGATACTTTGCAGCTGGGCGTTACATACCATGGTGCAGGTTCGGCCGCGCTGGGGATCACAGGCTGCACCTTGCCTTGACCTTGGCTGCCCTCGCTGCTCAGACAGGTATATGTGATCGCCCCCCCCCCCCCCCGAAAAAAAGCTGTAGCCAACTTGCAATGCCTCGCCACCCGCGACTGTTTGTCACATGTTTTGGCGACAGGGGTTTTTCAGGGCCCGTCATCTTCAACTACACGGTCAGCAACGGCTACTCCCTGCGGACCTCAACAGCAAGTGTGACGCTGCAAGTTGAGCCTCCCAGCACGATCAGCACAGCAGGCACGGAGGTCAACATGCGGCTCGTCCTCAGCACCACCGACAAGGCCACGGTTACTGCCGCGGCGTGCCCCGCGGATGTCACAAAACTGACTGCGCTTGCTGATGGGTTTGCGGAGAAGCTGCGGGCGGGACCCGGCATCACTTCAGTGAACTTGATGGCAGTAAAGTGCGAATTCATCGTGAGTCGCAGGCGTGGTCTGGATGCATTCCATCTACTATTTGATGGAAGCACAGAAGGAGAAGGGAGCAGGGGGTAGCAGTCGTTTTTTGTATCCCTAGGACCTACAATCAAAACATTCGGGGCTTCAGTGGCGCAGGCTATGGTTCCCAGGCCGGACCTGCGCTGAGTCTTCACATGTTCATGCGCTGGGGATGGACAGGATGGTGTAGCCGCACATCCGTTCTTATGGCTACGCCCGTGGGCTGCCCAGCAGTTATAACCGTCTTCTCCCTCTCCCAATCATCTGCGCTGCTTGTTCCAGGACAACAACAAGGTGCTCGTCACGTTTGCCACCAACGTGGCCAGTACCTCATCCTCGGCCGTATCCAGCCTCCTTGGAGCCATCAACTCACCCCGTGACGTCGGCGGCGCTCAGCCATCAGCTGGGCTGTGCTCGTCGCCCCTTCTTGGGCCACTGTGCAGCAGCACCAATTTTGGCTCCTTGAAGGTGGTGGACGGCTGTGCGACGGTCAACCTCCAGTGCACCCCTGCAATTCTGGTAGCCAAGAAATGTGTCGTGCCAACCGGCACTGTCGGCGGCTACATTGTCATCCGCAACCCCACCACCAGGGCGGCGACTGTCTTCTTTGACGGGGAGGTGCAAGGTGCGGACGGCGACGAGGTGCTTACGGATGAAGACGTTGACGCAGACCAGGGCAGCGGCGGGCGCAAGCTGCTGGCTGTGGTGCAACCCCAAAAGGCTGTGTTCCAGGCGTGCTGCGTTAGCCCCAAGCAGCGGGAACCGCCGAAGGGCAACGCGCCCACTTGCAAGCTCGTCAATGTGGGCAAGACGATGAACCAGCTGAAGAAGCTGTCCAAGTGCAAGTGCCTCAACCTGCGAGAGTATGTCAAGTCGGCAATGTGAGTTGTGGGGTATGTCTGCTTTAAGGTTGTGGGCGTTTGAGTGAGCGGGGTGGAATGTCATGATGCTTTGTGCTGGATGGCACAGGAGATTGGGGCAACGTCATGTTTCTTCAATGCAGTTGCAGCAGCTCGTGCTTGCGGAAAGTGAAAGATATGTGGCCAAGCCTCTCGGCTTGCTGATAGTCTCTTGCACGTGCCGCCTTCAACCAATAGGACAACCAAGGTCAATGCGCAAAGCAGTGCCGCCCACCTTCCTGCAAGCTATCCCTTTACCGCTGGTCTGGCCACAAAGGTGTGGGGTGGTGTAGCAAGACATGAGGGTTGTGGCTTTGTAGACGGCGGCACGTGCCTGGTGACAGCGGTTTGCATAATTACTAGGGCAGTTTCCAGTGTGGGTTGCTCGCCGTTACATGTCAGGCCGCACGCCAACTCCCCACCGTCATTTTCTTTTGACGTGTGGCAATAATCCCCCTCCCCCCCGCCCTCCGGGTACACTCGCTCTCTTCCCAGGTGTGCGCGCTCAAGCCGACAAAGAAGAATCCCTTGCGCTGTGTCCCTCAGACCCAGAACGCTGGATTTGCAACTGTGTCGTGCTTGGGCCCAGCAGCTGTCAACAACACTAACACACTCTCGGTTGAGTTTGAGTCAGCCCGTGGCTTCTCCGTTGGGCGCTTGAACACCATCGTGGCAACGTGCGGCAACAGCAAGTTCACAAGCATCAGCTCGTGCAACCTGGCAAACACCGCCGCCACGGCCATCGCCAACACAGCGACTGGTGGCGTGCAGCTCACCTCACCCGACTGGGATGCGGGCTGCCTGTGCAAGGCCACAGGGCGCAGGCCCGTCGTGATGATGCAGACAGCTGATGTTGTAGCTGGGCCGTCCTGCACATCAGCATGATCACGCCGTCGCCCTCTTCTTCGTCCAATACCATCCAGGGTTGGGTTGTGAAGGGTGCGCGTGTCAGTAGAAGTTTGTGTTGGACACACGTGACGGCAGCACATTAGCACGAGTGTGCGTATGACCCCTACCTTCAAAGGGGGCACCCTCCAATTTGAGGTGCTGAATGCCTTGATTTGTTGAATTCCAATGGTCTGCTCTATTCTGCGGATGGCGCCGCCTCAGGCGAGCAGGCGGCAACCCTTGTGAGGCATGGCGGGTGCGCTCATGACCACCCGATTTGTTGCTGAAGTCGCATCAGCCACTGTTCGGGTTTATTGAATTGCCTGGGTTGCAGGGACGTCTTCACTTCTGCCCGACGCTGTTCCTGCTCGTTGTTGAACCACGGCATTACAAACACTGAGTATCCCCTGTGGCAGCCACTTATTATTTGGATCGCGGGTACTAGTGCTAGCTAGTTGACAAATTTTTGTGCCTTTGCGCCAAGCCCTACATGCCTCTGCGGTGACGCCCTCGACAGCGAGGTCTTGCATGCGCCATGCCGATGGCCTGCACACATGCTGCAGCTGTGATAGCAAATCCCGCGTGTCACGTGGCTCTGGCTTCCACCTTGAATGTTTCTTTCCAAGCGAGGCGTGCTATGGTAGCCCGCACGTTGCTGATCCGCTTCTGTGCATGCAAGGGTGCTGAAGCGCATTTGCGTCTCTTCCAAGGGTGCACTTATATGAGCCGCTTGTGCCAGGTTTGGTGACCGGACGTGTGCACGCGTAAAAAGCATCATTTTTCCAGCGCTTGACGTATTGTTATATTCTTACATCAAGCCGTTTATCACCCAGTGGCACTACATTCAAACCAAGGACCTTCTGTGCACCTGTTGCCTGCTGCTCCCTGTTTGTATGGGGCGCTGTTTCTGTCATCCTTTCCCCGACCCCTTTATTATTCTCTCTCGTGCTCTTGCGCCCAGACTTTGCAGTCTCTCTGCTGTGGCACAGGTGCGCAGCTGCTCATGGTCACCCATGGCCGCATGCCATTGATCATAAACCTACAACAACAAAACCTGACTCCATGTTGGCCATGTTGGTCGTCGAGCAATCGCACCCCTGAACCCTCTTGGTAACTTAGGAATGGCATCCACGACAGTTTGACTGGAGTAGCCGCGTGCTGGATCGGTAAATCCATTGTTGGACTGTTTTCAGCTGCGTTGCCTCCCCTAAAACAAAGCATCAGAGCGTTGACTAAGTCAATTGGCCTGTGGTTATGGTCGCGAAATGCCAAGTGCTGCCAGGCGCATCTTCAACCGTGCATGTAACATGTACAGCATCCTTGTACATGTCGAGGGCGGGGCAGGTCAGAGAGAGCGAGAGACTACGCTGACGCCTTTCACGGCTAGAAGCCACGCTGCAGGCGGCGCCGCGTCGGGTTAAGGAGAGGGGTGTGTGTGGTGAGCGACACCCCCCACCGTGGAGACCAAGGGGCACGCTCACGTGACGCCACGCCCTTGACGCGGCCGTGATGGCGAGCAGTCGTTTGCATGCAGCAGTTGCTTTCGGCGGCCCCAGACAGCTGTCATGCTCTCTACAGCGCGCAGGTTGAGGTGCTTGAGCAGGGTGTTGTGTTTCTCTTTTGGTATCCCTGGGTCAGCTGCGGTCGTGATCATGCCTGCGTAAATTGCGCCTCCCACACCCAGTGTAATCACATGGAGGTGGACCTGCCGGCGCGCCTTCTGCAGTTCCGCAATGAGTGCGGCGTGCTGTGCCGTGGCCGCTGCAATGGTCGGGTCTGGGTTTGTGTCCCTGCAGTACTTGACTTCCACAACATGAATGTGTTCCCCCGACCCTCTGCCTGCTGCCGGCACGTGCAGAATGATGTCGGGAACGCTGTATGTGCCTGCATCTTTCAGGCGCCGTTTCTGTGTGGGTGTCAGGATGGAGCACTTGTCGAAGGTGCGCCGGTGCATCACCCCATCCTCTTTGCAGTTTTTTGCTGACCCCAGGTCTGCACACTTAATGCAGCCACCCAGCGCGCCAGCCTCTATCGCGGCCAGGATTATCCTCCCCGCACGGTGGTGGCAAGAGGTGTGCTGCGCGCACAGCGCTGGGCATGCCAGCATGGCGTGCCCAGCGGTCTCGTCCGGGTCTCCGCAAAGGCGGCAGGCCGTGCTTTTGCTCTTTCCCCACTTGTGCAGGTTGTGCATGGTGAGGACCTGTCCGCATCTCCACCGCAGGCACAGCCTCACTTCGCGCGGCGGCACCGTGCCCCACTTTTGAAGATAGTACCAGGCTGCCGGATGCAGGCTGGGTGCAGTCTCGCGTTCCAGCCGCATGTACAGCGTATTGAGGTTGGCCCCCATCGTCTCGTGCATGTTGCAAGCCAAGCGCTTCAGCGCCTCGGCCAGGTTGGCCAGGATCCG